CTCTCTCTCACACACACACACACACACACACACTATTTCTCTCTCTCTCACACATACACACACACACACACTATCTCTCTCACACATACACACACACACACACACACACAGGTTTCCATATTTTATGGGTTCATTCCATAGGTGTAATGATTTCTATACTGTATTTTCAAAGATTTTCAAAAAATGTAATTCTGTGTAAAGCTTGTTTCCTCATGGGGACCAAAAAATTTCCTTATGGGGACATTTGGTCCCTATAACACAGGGAATATGGGACTCTCTCTCTCCTCTACTCTGTATTTGATGGATAAGCTAAGCTGAAGGCAGGGCTGCACTGTGTCTCTCTCGAGTCGAATCTCACAGATGCCCACAAAGCTGCCCTGCAGAGGATCAAATTGAGTTTGCAGCCAAGATAAAGGCACAGCTCACACAGCAAGCAACACGATGCAAGAACCCCTTCTGAATACACTGTAAACATTCCAGTTTGTTTTTACACACTTGCCATGTAGACAACTCATTGTAAGTGGATTGTTGGGACATTAGTTATGAGTAACACTGATAGTTTTCTGTGCTGCCGACTGCAGTGTGGACAGCTTTGTTGACTCGAGCAGGTCTGCATCAGTGTTTATTATCGAGTCAGATTTGTCAGGGCAGCTGTCTGTCTGTCAGCCGCATTACGTGGGAAGGAAGAGTTGTAGTCTCTCCAGCTGCTTTGAAACATGAAGGCAAAGAAGTAGACGAGTGGCTTATCAGTGGCCTTGTACATGATGAACATCTTCTGAATAAAACTGTGTTTGGGGCCCAGCATGATGTGTCCACTCGCTGGGGTCCTTCATCAGAGGAGCATCACCTCTCACTCCTGCAGTATATCTGTCACATTATGTCCTTTCAACAAACTTGAACTTGTGGAGGTCTATTGTAGCATTAAGAATGATGGTGTTTATTTGACAGTATAGGGTTTTCCCTAAACATAGCACGGTATGGTAGAACCATGACTCTAAAACTGTGATGCAAACCGAACTGTAAGTTGAACTGTTGCACCCCTAATATATATATATATATATATATATTAGAAGGCTTGAACATTTGTTAATGTAGTATTAGCATTCTGTGATCACACAAAAGGTGAAATAATAATTTAAAAAAAAATTTAGCAATGCATTATTTCTTGAAAAATAATACACATTTGCTATTTATGCCTGTTGCACAAAGCTGTTACTGTACATTGGAAAGAAAACAGGAAATGACATCACAGAAGGCACACCCCAGACCCTTTGGTAACATGTACCATGAAGCCGGTTTAGCTGGCTAGTCGGGTATATTTCAGATTAGTTGCTGGGTTTAGTTGTTCTGGGTAAGAAATCTCAAACTGCACCAATCAGCTGCGAGCAAACATCTCTAACGCAGTAAAGCCACTCCCCCTGTCTGCTAGATCGGAATAACTAATTTTGTGCTTAATGTACTTTAACTGTGCTGAAGTCCAACTAAAGATATACTGAAGTAGAACCGCCCTGCTGGAGAGAGGTGGGCGCCAGTCCCTGCTCCTTCAGCTTCTTCAGCGTCTCCGCGTCCGAGCGCAGGTCCCGCTTGGTGCCCACCAGAAGGATGGGAACGCTGGGGCAGTGGTGGGACACCTCGGGGTGCCACTTGTGCCGCACGTTGGCGAAGGACGAGGGGCTGCCGATGGAGAAGCAGATGATGAAGACGTTGGTCTGCGGGTAGGAGAGCGTGCGCAGGCGGTCGTACTCCTCCTGCCCCGCCGTGTCCCACAGGTTGAGGCTGACCGAACGGCCGTCCACGCTCATCTGAGCGCTGTAGTTGTCGAACACGGTGGGGATGTACTCCTCGGGAAAGGCGTTGGTGGTGTAGGAGATGAGGAGGCAGGTCTTGCCCACCGCCCCGTCGCCCACCACAACACACTTAATAGTCTGCATTCTTCGTCCTCTCGGCAGTGGCACCTGTAGCCAAGAGCAGGAGAACTTTATGAATTTTATGAAACTGAGGTTTATGCATCATAAATAAATAAGCTTTCCATTGATGTGTGGTTTGATTTTTTCATTAGATAGAATAATTTAACTTTAAAATGTACAAACATTTTTCCAATTCTTCATTTGTCTTTTTTTTTAAAACATCGCAATAAATATCGTATCATTGACTTCATATCGCGATATTATCGTATCGTGCGATTTTGATAGTTACATCCCTAATGCATATTACTAATCAAAAATTAAGTTTTGATATATTTACGGAAGGAAATTTACAAAATATCTTCATGGAACATGATCTTTACTTAATATCCTAATGATTTTTGGCATAAAAGAAAAAATCAATAATTGTGACCCATACAATGTATTGTTGGCTATTGCTACAAATATACCCCAGCGACTTAACACTGCTTTTGTGCTCGGTTCACATATATCTTGTGCTTGAGCTGAACAAAAGTGTAACTCTACCGTTTCTACCAAAAGAGTTACTATAGTTATTGTTATGATGAAACTGTTGTCTACTATCCACGATAGTATTGACGATAGTCAGAGATATCGCCTGTGGTTGCTGCCTTTGACGATAGCAAGACGATTATTATTAATATTACTAGGCTAGTAATACTGTCTAATTAATATTAGGGCTTATTTGTTCCATTATATATTTTTCACGCGTTTGTACAGTGTTGTGCGTTACAACCAATCACACACGATCGTAATATAATTAGTAACTTACGATGTTTCTATTAAATTGTTATCATGTTAAATACAAACCGAGTCATATTAAAAACATTCGGCTGCGTTTAGCCTTACGCTGGAGTTGGTTCACGTTCCGGCAGTGAAACGAAGTAAACATCTTTATGCTATATTATTCTGAAATTCTGGCTTTTTTTACGTTTTGGATCTTTTTGTCAACTCGTTTTCTTTCGATTAGCACAGGTTGTGTGTTTCTTTCTAGAGCGGTTTGATCATAGGCCTCATTTATCGGAGTTTAAGCACCTAACAAAAGTTCATTTAAGCTTATTCACCTAAAAACAAAAACAGAGGAGCATAAGATCAGATCAGTGAGGCCTACGATAGAAAGAAATACAACACCTGTGCTAATTGAAAGAAAACGAGTTGACAAAAAAGACTGAACCCAGTGTTTCATGACAATACAGCATAGTGAGAGATTTATAAGTGGTTGTTTGTAGGCTGGTCATGTTTGACTGGGAACAGCACACGTGTAACACGCTAGGACAACATCCAAACCTGATTCACATGTTGGCAAGTTGTTATTACCCTCCGTGAGCAAAGTCAGCATGTTTTAGTCTAATGTGATAAACATTAACTAGCAACTTCAGCAAAAAGAAACTCCTCTCTGGGTCAAAATGACGTGAACACAACTAGGGGTGTGCAATATATATATCGTCTGCGATAATATCGTAATTGTTGTTTTAACGAGGTGCGATTTGACATTATCGAGTATTTTGCAAAAACCATTCAAAACATCCCTACAGAGCGCACGCATACATTACGTGAAGTCTAGACTAGTGCGTGTGCGCATTTAGTGTGTTTTCTTTCACTGCATGATTCAGTCTATTAAAATGCATTTAGAATGATCACAAATTCAAGACATGACGGCAGACAATTTATATATTTATACCACTTCATATAGTTATTCAATTTCACACGAAGAGTGCCGTTTTTCTCCAAAAATTATCATGATTACAAATGTGACATTGAATTCAATAAACAATAAGTTAATTAAGAGACTTACATTTTAGACACCATATTGCCTGTTTTTGCTCTATTTCACCAAAAACAAAACAAAAATCATCCCGAATACAGCCACAGAGCTGTTTTGTGTCTCTTGAGCAACATGACGGTGTTTCGTTCCTGAATGAATCAACCGTTTAAATGATTCGGTTCAATCGCAGTGACTCACTTATTAACAGTGACGTGCGGTTTTCATTTCGGCTTTTTCTTTCTTTTCTTTTTTGATATTTTTTTTGGTTTTATGTTTAATATATCAAAACATTATTTATGCATTTGTAACTGCAGGTTAAATGCATTCATGTCTTGCATTAAACAAAATACATGTGTGTAAACACATCTAAATGCAGCTTCAGATGCAGCTTCTGTGTTGATTTCATTTGCTCGGTAACAGCCCAAATGTCTTATTATTCTAATTCCCTGATTAAATGTAAGAATTTGACTCAAAAGATAATGGACACTTTTAGAAAAAATGGCTTTATAAAGGTAAACATGCCCATAAAATGCAAAAATCCATTTAAACTTATTGGAAAAGATTAATTTCTATCCGTATGAACTGACCAGCACACAGAATATGAAGAATATTAAAAACATTAGGAGTCAGCTGTATTCGGCAGTCCTTAAGAAACCAGCACAATAACACACTCAGCAAAATATCGTCTAATTATCGTCATCGATAAAATCCCAGAAAATATCGAGATATAATTTTTTGTCAATATCGCACACCCCTAAACACAACATGAGGGTTAAGAAAACTAACATAAATATTCAGAAAGCTTTTTAAATATCACATATTAATTTCTTACGAACAATAAACTGAATAAGTATGGGAGACTTGCTGTAAGAGCTGTAGTCAGTTCTAACTGCATCTGTGCGTTACGATGAAGAATTAATAGAATTAAATGGTTTAAAACCAAACTGACCTTGTGTTTCCAATCCCAGTAAAAAGCAATTGTGATTAAATGTTTACAGGAGCTCCACTGATACTGCGATCATCATTGGTAGCTACGCCCAGAGGATCTTGATGAAATCAAAAATAGAATTTAGTTTCCATTAGAAATCCCGTCTCACTTCATTCCTCTCATGATTCTATCGCAAAGGGGGACAGGAGTCAGAATTAGACTCTCAGACTCTCAGGTGAGTCACGTGTCAGGCTCTCTCTCAGGCGAGTCACGTGTCAGACTCTCTCTCAGGTGAGTCACGTGTCAGACTCTCAGGTGAGTCACGTGTCAGGCTCTCTCTCAGGCGAGTCACGTGTCAGACTCTCTCTCAGGCGAGTCACGTGTCAGACTCTCACTCAGGCGAGTCACGTGTCACACTCTCACTCAGGTGAGTCACGTGTCAGACTCTCACTCAGGCGAGTCACGTGTCATACTCTCACTCAGGCGAGTCACGTGTCAGACTCTCACTCAGGCGAGTCACGTGTCAGACTCTCTCTCAGGCGAGTCACGTGTCAGACTCTCTCTCAGGCGAGTCACGTGTCAGACTCTCTCTCAGGCGAGTCACGTGTCAGACTCTCTCTCAGGCGAGTCACGTGTCAGACTCTCTCAGGCGAGTCACGTGTCACACTCTCACTCAGGCGAGTCACGTGTCAGACTCTCTCAGGCGAGTCACGTGTCACACTCTCACTCAGGCGAGTCACGTGTCAGACTCTC